AAAATCAATTAAATTCAAACAAATTCATATTGCAAACTCTGAGAGAGTTACAAAAATCATTAAGGTGATAATTACATCATAAAAACTGGGCTACTAGGCTCCCAGAAAGTTTTACAAATAGTTACAAAATTAAAACATTTAAGATTTTATGAATCTACAAAAAAATCAATTTAATCGATTTAACGTTGGATTCTCTTTTACAAAACAGACATGATGAAATAGACCATTGTTTTGCAAAAAGATTTCCTGGTGCGATATATATTAAAAGCTGTAGCGTGATTTAAATTATATTCAAAGGTCACTCTTAACCCCTTCGTGTAAATAAGCTTTATTTTAGTCAATTGAATTAAAGATAATATTTTCACTTAATAATACCAATTAACCAAACAACGTAAAAGAAAAATGTGTATTGAATTACTCCAACTTACGTTTATCAGCAATATTTCAATCGATGGATCATTAGTAAAATGATGCACGTTATGTTTTATGATCCGAGAAGACGTTTATTATCCATTGTAAAGATTTACAGATGCATTTTTGATCATGAGCATGCTACTAACATCAACAATTCATTTGTAACGGTTTTCCTCCAAAGATGTACAGTGCGTAGAGTAAAAAAGATCACCTTTTTTGATCTAATAATCGGATCTTCACGTTCTAGGATTCAATCTTAATATTTGAAGGGGATAACCTCAAATATGGTAATTAAATAGATCAGGTGATATTTTTAAGATACGAAATCGGTTACTCTAACTCACGTTTATCAGGAATATTTCAATCGATGGGATCATTAGTAAAATGATGCACGTTATGTTTTATGATCCGAGAAGGCGTTTATTATCCATTGTCAAGATTTACTGATGCATTTTTGATCATGGGCATGCTACTAACATCAACAATTCATTTGTAACGGTTTTCCTCCAAAGATGTACAGTGCGTAGAATTTTTAAAAAAATATATCCCCTTTTTTGATCTTATAATCGGATCTTTACGTTCTAGGATTCAATCTTAATAATTACCTCAAATATGCTAATTAATTAGATCAGGCGATATTTTTAATTTACGAAATCGGTTACTCTAACTCATGTTTATGAGCAATATTTTAATCAATGGATCATTAGTAAAATGATGCACGTTATGCTTTATGGTCCGAGAAGGCGTTTATTATCTATTGTTAAGATTTATTGATGCATATTTGATCATGGGCATGCTACTAACATCAAGAATTCATTTGTAACAGTTTTCCTCCAAAGATGTACAGTGCGTAGAATAAAAAAGATCACCTGTTTTGATTTAATAATCGGATCTTCACGTTCTAGGATTCAATCTTAATAATTTGAAGGGGATAATCTCAAATATGCAAATTAATTAGTGCAGACAATACTTAAAGTTACGAAATCAGACACAAAAATTTCCTTTTTCTGAATGAACATGCTTTTTTTTAGACAGATCCGGATTTCTGATCCTCAAAGTGTAAGAACTAGCCACAATCTGGAAAATATGGTCTCGATATAGTTTGGTCAAGAAAGCGGTCTAAAGTTTGGACCCTTTAATGTTAATTTTACTCTTTTTGAGTATTTCACAGTACCTCGAGAAATGAATACTGCACGTTATTGTAAAATTCAAAGATATTTCCATTCAAAAAATATTTTTAATAAATATTTATAATTTTTAATAATTTAATTTAATATTAGTAGTTTTAAATTGTAAGATATACAATTTTTACATACTTTTAAAGAATATAATTTTACATGCAAAATACAAAATTTGAGGGAAATCAGTCGAATAGCTCCTGAGAAAGTGAATTTTTAAAATACGACTTTTTCATGCGTGGAGCAAAATAGCATGTGCGGGGATTCCACAGGTGACTGAAATTGTAAGAAGTGGTAGAAACTCAATTCTTTTTGTATTTATTTATTTATTTATTTGTTCAATTATTCAATCGTAACTATCGTTGCAACTTACAATTTAAATTATTCATATCTAAATTGAAATTATTTACTTCAATTTTTTTCAATAGTCAATTAAAACTATCTTAGTGAAAATGTCCTCGAATTAATTTAACTACCACTGCTTTTATTAAAACAATTTTAAACCAGCTTATGAGCTTTTTGATAAAAGCATTTTCTTAGTGTGTCACTTAATGTTTTTCATTCAATTGTGAACTAGCGTTTCATGCAAATTTAGAACACACCTAAAAACAAGTTCATATAGGTATGCATACCCCAAACATTTACAGTACTTTCATCACAGGGCAAATATTGATTGTATGTATTTTAATTTCCACTTTCAATATTTTAATAACCGTGCTAATTGCAAGCATTCTATCAACTTTTATATACTCAAAATTTTAAGCGAATACATTATATTAACAAGTATAGATATCACGTGTACTTTTAATATTCTATTTGCTGAGCAACTTGTAAGTACTGCATAATACTTCAATTATTTTGTGATTATGAAAAGTTTTAATCTGTCGTGCCACAGGTCCTTGGTTCGATCCTTGGGCCGGGCAAGGCCGCCTCAGCCTTTCTTCCCTTCAGTGGGTCGATAAATGAGTACCAAGCATGCTTGGGAACTAAACACAGGGGGTTCCGCGTTCGGCTGACCACCTGACCGGAACATATGCTCCTGCACCCCAAAGCCCAAGGTCAAGAAAACTGAGATGGGCGCAGTAGGCCTTGGCCCTATAGGGCTATCGCACCACTGAGTTTTAGTTCAGTTTTATATATATATATATACTATTAATGATATAGCATGCACTTAATAATTTAATTACTGTGCAAATCGTAAGCATTAAATAAGTTTTAATTCCACTTTTAACTGCGCAAAATGAGAATATTCGATGAATTTCAACTCCGCTTTGCATATTTTAATATTTGCGAAAATTTTAAAAAATGGTAATTGTTTAAGTTTTAAATACAACTATACAATTTTTTTTTCACTTTAATTATTGTGTAAACTATAAGTATTTATAAAGCTTAATTCAATTTTTCAAACTAACGTTGTATATATACATAGGTATCGGGATCACATGATCTTTTGATACTCGTCTATAAATTCACATTCAAATCGTACATTAATTATAATCCTAATTTTATTATTTAAAATATTGAGCAGCATGTAAGTATCGAATAATTTTAAATTTCTTACATAAAATTTCATATTCTTTACAAATAGGTACAGATATCACATATAATTAGAAAAATTTAATTACGAAAAATTTAATTACTGTGTAACTAGTAAACATTGTTACGGTTTCAATCACATATTTAACGCTTTAATTATAAAGTTAATTGTAAGTTTCGTATAAATTTTAATCCCTTACAAAAAGTTTCGAACGAACTTTATTTATGCTCATAAGTATCGGTATTTCATGTACTTTTAATATTTTAATTACTTTACAATTTGTACATATAGAATAAACTAAAATCGAATTCTTAATATTCTGAGCAAATAATAAGTCTTTTAAAAGTTTTAATTACAGTTATTTTTTTTATTTAATTATGGCGAGAGTTATAAGTATTGGACACAATTTAATTTCATGCATAGAAATTCTTCAATAGAGCATTATTTATACACATAGGTTTCAGTATCATGTATGTCTTAATTACTTTACAAATTATAAGTTTTGTAAAAATTATAATCCCACGTTAAATATTTTAAATATTCAGCAAATTTCAAATATTGTATAAGTTTTAATTATGATCATATTTTTTTAATTTAATTATAGTGTGAGCTACAAGAATTTAACACATTTTAATTCTATGGAAATAAATTCTCCAAGCGAACATTATATATATTGGTATCACTAAACTACTTCACAAATATCTTAATTACTTTACAAATGTTTTAATTACTTTACAAATCACAAGTTTTGTAAAATTTTAAGTATTGTAGAAGTTTTAATTACAATTCTTTTTTAAATTTAATTATGGTGTGATCTATAGGTATTGAACACAATTTAATTCCATACAAAGAAGTTCTCCAAAAAAACATTATTTATATACATATAAATCGGTATCATTTAATTACTTCACAAATGTCTTAATTACTCTAAAAATCGCAAATTTGTAAAAATTATAATCGCACATTTATTATTTTAAATTCTGAGAGAATTTTAAGTATTGTGTAACTTTTAATAAGAAATATTTATTTTTAAATTATTTAATTATGGTGTGAGTTATAAGTTTTGAGCAGAATTTAATTTCAAACAAAGAAGTTCTCCAAAAGAGCATTATTTATATAGTACATATAAATCGGTATCATTTTATTACTTCACAAATGTCTTAATTACTCTAAGAATCGTAAATTTTGTAAAAATTATACTCTCACACTTATTATTTTAAATTCTGAGAAAATTTAAAGTATTGTGTAATTTTTAATTGCAATTATTTATTTTTAAATTAAATTATGGTGTATGTTATAAGCATTGAACACAATTTAATTCCATGCAAAGAAATTCTCGAAACGAACATTATTTATAGACATATAAATCGGTATCATTTAATTACTTCACAAATGCCTTAATTACTTCAAAAAATCATAAATTTTGTAAAAATTATAATCTCACTTTTATTATTTTAAATTCTGACAAAATTTTAAGTATTGTATAAGTTTTAATTATAATTATTTTTTTTGAAAATTTAATTATGGTTTGAGTTATAAGTATCGAATACATTTTAATTCCATACGAGAATATTTTTAAAACGAAACCTTATTTATACACATAAATATCGGTGTCATTATACATTTTTGATGTCTTAATTATTTAACAAATCGCAAACATTGTAAAAACTATAATCCCGCTTTAAATATATTGAATACTGAACAAATTGTAAGTTTGGTATACATTTTAATTCCGTACACGAAATTTTAAGCGGACATTACATTCACATAGGTACAGATATTGCATGTATTTTAGTGTTTTCAGTGCTAAGAGTATAGCATAAATTTTAATTCCATTGATAGTATAAGCATTACAGAAATATAGAACTTACTGTAACCGAGCTGGACTCTCGTAAGAGTAAGAAAGAATTCCTTGACAGCTGATGTGATCTCAACAAAACCCTGAAAGCGAATGAGAGGCAATCTGATTACTGACCTTATAGTGAAGAGTCCATTCAATCACCATTTACGCAATTTATCTATGTTTTAATTTATTTCGATCATCTTCTTCTCTTATTTTATTCCATACTTCGTTCGTCAAGAGCAAGAATGAAAATGAATGTATGTGAGACATTCTTTAAATCAAAAGCGCTGAACTACGATATGTTAATTTTCGCAACAGCTGCATCGTTGATGTCGCTGGAATAATCGCAGTTGTCTAGTTTGTTGAGAATGGATTGGTTTTGTATTCGAAATCAGTCTTGGAGGTTTGCCCGTAAGTAAATGTCTTTGGTGATTTCAACAAAAGTGACTATTAGGCATCGAAAAATATTGACAACGAAAATTATTCCCCCTAAATTTGCTATCTTTTTTTATAGAGGTCGATGAACAAACTCTAATATTCGTTTACTTGGAAAGTAAAATACGCGTTTTGCTCCATATTTGAAATGGAAGAAAAGTCTTGTTTTGAGCACCCAAAACATGAAGCTCCTTATGAAAACCAACCATTCATGTTTTGCTCTTGGTCCCCTCCCCCAATATTTTTCCAAAATGCAAATTTTTCCACGATTGATTGTAACATTTAAAAAAAAAACGTTTTTTTAATAACCAAACTAAAATAAAGATTATTTTTCTTTTCTATTGGCTTCTTCTAATGCGTTCATCAAAGATAAAAGGCCACTTTTAAAAAGAGTAAGAGATTTTAAATTATTGACTTAATAATCGTCTGCGTTACGAAGCTATTTGGGTATTTTTGTTCCATGTACTAACTGGTAAATGCAGCTGTTTCAAAAAGCAGGTGAAGTAAATATCAATCTATTTTTTTTAAAGGGTCAAAGGAATTTGTTGATTACTAATTAAAACTTCGGCAATGCAATCATTTTCTGGAATGTACTCGTCCATAAGTTCCTAGACAAGATTGTTTGTTTTTAAAATTTGAATTTTAACACTCGTAAAAGAAAAGTCCTTTTAAAAATTTGCTCTTTTTCTCCATTTTTAAAAAAATGCATTTCTTTTAAGGTAAGTGAAATATTTTTATTTTAAGATTACAGGAAAATTATTCATTACAATTTTATTAATAACATTAAGGTCTAGTAATAAAATCTAATTTCATTTTACTAAGTCATTTTTACCGGTATACTTACTAATTTTATCTGGATAAAACATTAGTTAATAGATGTCTTGAATTCAGATGTTAATTAAAAACAAAACAGGGTATTTTTAATAGTAATAATTGCAGAATGAATAACCCTGAAGATAGTAGGGAAGAAACAACATCCTGTCCTTTCAATATAACAAATATCGCCTTAAATAATTTATTTGCGTTAAACTCTTTAAAAGTTAGTTTAAAGATTCTATGAGAGAAGGTCATTGCCATGCAATCATTTATACTTAAGGGAGAAACAAAAGGGTGTAATTAACTGTGAATATTCATAATTAAATCTAAATCGTCACCGATTTAGCCAAATGTTTGAATTAAAATAAAAGAAATTGAGTGAAAAATGTCTTGGTGTTCCTCGTAATTTCAATTCAATTTCGTTTTTTTTTTTTTTTTTTTTTTTTTTTTTTTTTTTTTTTTTTTTTTTTTTTTTTTTTNTTTTTTTTTTTTTTTTTTTTTTTTTTAATTGATTAGGGGTTTTGTTTATTCGACGTTTCTTCCCCTTTGGTTGTTTATTTTTACTCTTTTAAAGTTTATACTTATTTATTATTTGTACTTATTATACCCAAACAATTGGGTCGACTGTTCAACGACGGTTATAAAATCAAACCACTGCAGTTGAAATTACAATTGGAATACGGGAAAAATTCAAACGAACTCAAAATTTCGAATGTTTGCTAACTCATTACTTAATCTCAAACAACTTAATCTTTTTTGTTTTTGTTGCTTATCCCCAGCGATCAACAAAGTTAAATAAAGTCCATAACAAAGTTCACCCTTAAAATGTGAAGGACCAACAAAGGATTAGCCCACAACGTCTTGAAGTGATTGAGAGTCCTAAGTGCTCAAGAATTCGATCAGTTGACATTTGTGCGAAAGAACGTTAACAGCTTGTCTCGAAACACTTAGTCCGTCCATAATACGTCATAGATGTCCACTGATAAGACGGCGACGTGCTTGTTGTTTACAAACTATCACTAATAATAAAAAGCTACAAGCTTATTTACCCACAAAGGTAAATGGAATTCGGAGCGGAATTTCAAATTTATATTAAGGTAGATCTATAAGTATGAAGCCGCAACGAAATGTGCAATCAATAACAAAAAATAATACGGTGTATTATGATAATATTAGGTTACTTATCCGTTTCAGAGGGCGTTACCACATTTAATTAAGCATCACTGGCATCAAAGAGTGTTTAGCGATTTCTTACGCCCTTCGAAATAAGTACCGACATCAGTTAGCCAAAAAATTTTATAGAAATATTAGAATTGATGCTAATTAGTTTCGTGAATATGCAATTAATTAATTTTAGCTATAAGTACATACTGAAATAAAAAATAATAAATTTTGTGTCAAAAAGCTAAATTATTGAAGAAAAGGTACTATGAGAACTGTATAGCCATTCTGTTACTGACGCAAATGATGCTTAATTAATGTTGATGATATGCACTATTTTTACTGTGTTCGGTTATTAATTTTACTATTGTTGTTTTTTTTAATATGTACTAAATATACTAAGATTGGTACCGAGATGCATACTATATTTTATTTTATAACCGTTGTTGAACAGCCGACCCAATTTTATGGGTTTACGACTGCTAATGTTCAACTTCGTAGCCTTGTAATTTTGAACCCAACCCAGAGAGTAAGGGAACTCCTGGATAGAGTATTGGAAGAAATCTGCCTTCATGGAGGATTTTTTGTTGAAGCTAACCAGCATTTGCGTTACATGTAGAGGAAGACCACGAGAACCCCACGGTTATCCTGGCGGCAAGTGGACTCTAACCCATGATCCGTCTACCACTGAGGATATTTCACGTCAGCACTGTGGTTGGTGCAAGCCAGATGCGGAATTCGAATCAATTGGGATTCGAATCCGGTTCGCCTCATTGGAAGGCAAGCGCTCTATCCCCTGAGCCATCGCGGCTTAGATACATATACTATAGTTTCGTTCCCATACTGTACAATGTTGTTGCTACTAACTGTGGTTATATGAATGTTTCGTAGTTTATGAAAGTTAAGATCGCCGTCTGCTGATGAATATTGTAGCTAATTTCGAAACTTGTTGAGCTTAAAACAGCTAGTTTCTAAAGAACTCTCAATCTTTTCTCCTTCTGATTTTCTTCAATTTATTTTTCATATTCAGAGATGCCAACTTGCTCCGGACAGCGAATAAATATTTTCGAGTAGTAGTTTATTAATTGCGATTCTTTGTTTAATAAATTCAATTTAGTAGATTGTTATCTACCACTATTTCTAAATAATTCGTAGACTTATATATTCACCACTTTATTACAATAAAGTCCCGCTGAACTTGTTAAAAAGTAAGCAAAATTAGTCAAATATTTGCAAATTTTAGGTTTGTAGATGTTTACCGTTTTTTAAATAATTTTGGCCTGTCCGGAGCAGTTGGCATCTCTGCATATAATCCGTCATTTGTTGAAACTGCCGGTACTTTAACGCGCCGACTGTCACAAATACGTGGCAGCATAAAACCGTATCAACCAGGGTAAAAAGATAAAACTGGTAATCAAAGTAATTCTTTAGCAGTTTATTTGTGAGCGGAGTTATAATTGTTTAATTTATTAAATTCACCATCACTTTGTCCAAAATAAAACTATTTAGTTATACTTTGAACTAACATTGATTGTATATATGATTAAACTAACAATAATTAAAGTAAAAGGAAAGTAAGTCTGTCAAATTGGCAACTATTACATTTAAGTTACCGTTTTTTATTTAATTACATCCTGAATCTAATTTTGTACGAATGCTTTTCTGAATCACCCGTCCCCAAGGGATTAACCATTGATCACGCTACATTAATTTCTGACAAAACTTATTGACGGAGGAGGACAGCACGAAGTCAATTTTTGTCACAATTCAATTAACTCAATTTTTGCAAACATTAAAAAAACAAAGAAATAGTTGAAACCTATTTAATTCATAACCACGGTTTTTCACACTTTCTAGTTACGATTATTTTCAGTGGTAGTGGCATAATGATCAATTGCCTTTAACAAATAGTCATGTAACAATAGTCAAGATATTTAACAAATAGTCATGTCCCGTTTTATCACGACCTTTGATATTGAAGTGATACGAAAAAAAATTGTTATATGAAGAAAGTGATGGGTATTCAATTTAGGCATATATTTTTTACTGGTACTGGTATTTAATCTAATATATATAATTCTCTTACGTGACTCCTTAATTTTGGCTGCATTTCTTTTCCGCCGGTGGCAGCGTTTGCCTTGTTTTGTTTACGTTACTATTTCTCTTACACGGCGAATCGACCAATGATTGCCGCTGAAAATGTCACATGCCAAATCTAACTGAGGTGGCTCAACATATAGCGATTTTGAAAAAGGAAACTGAAATAACCAGAGAGCATCAGCTGCAGAAATCTCATACTATTAAACTAGGCAGAAGTGAGTAGTCTTTGTCGATAGATCTCTATTTTAGTATTTTGTCGAAAGCGCTTTTTTTCACGAATTTATATATTACGAATTTATTTGACGATTTTTGATTTACATTACGAATTATACTATAGCACATTTCTAATAAGTTTAACGAACTACATGCCATTTATTTGAATTCAAATTTATTTTAATGAATTAGTATTTACTAAAAAGATGTAATTTTTTAAAAAAAAAGAAGTTTTTATATGGATTTGAATGATTGTTTTGAATTCTTAGAATTTTGTGCATTTGCATTGTACCTAAGTTAGTAGCGAGCGAAGCGAGCTTGGTTTGTGAAACAAACCATATAAGATTGCATAGCAATTTTCGGTGGTTGGCGAGCGTTAGCGATCAGGTGGCGTAGCCCACTAGTAGTAGGACACCCAAATCATAAATAAATTATGGTGGGTGGTGAGGATATTTTAATTCCCCCCGCAGAAATTATAACCTTGAAACAGTAATCCTACCACTTTCTGAAAAAGAAGCTCTTCTATAAATAGGACATTGGGCTCTAACCAGTTAAATTTTTAAAGAGGCTTTATAAAAATGTTATTTTTTACAAAATAAATTTTATTAGCTTTTAGTCACTTATGCCTCTGGAAAAAG